ACAAGGGGCGGAGACTCAGACGGAGCTTCGCCGGTCTAGCCATAAGATGTAGAGTTGCACGCAGCAGCTTGAGAATGGAAACTGTAACTCAATAAAGACTTTTATTTAATGATCGCTGGCTGGCGTGATCCTCTGTGAGCTAGGATCTGGAAGCAGCTCTGACACACACGTTTGTGGACACAGGACAGCAAATTTTGTAGAAGTGCAAATTTTGAAAAATAGATGCATTCTTGTTTGCATATTGTTTTGGGAATTCTGAATTTCCAGTGAGTCCGGAAATATCAGTTATAGATCAGCCTGTAAGGATGCCAGTTTCAGAATCCAGAACTCAAAACAGTGACACCAAGAAGGATCCACACGCACACACCCCACACAGCATAACAAACCAAGGACTCTAAAATTCAGACATTTCTTCCTCAGATATAAAATGTGAAGTTGACAGCATGCAGTCAGTAGCTCTACATTTATCTCATAGGAAGAGAGAATAAGCCTCTTCTGAATTACTCTTAAACATGACTTGTGCCTCTTTGGGTCGGTATTTCTCTCTGGCAAACAATCAAGTTCCTTTGATTTTTTAAAAACCCAAAATCATTTATCTATTTTATGTGTGTCATGTTTGTGCTTTACTAGGCTGACTAGTGAATTTTCAATATGAGGAGCACCACAGTCCTAGACAAGGGAAGATTTTACTTCATGCCAGTGATAACTGTGCTGTCTTTTCCCCATGAATTATAATATCCTGTTCCAGGCAGTGTGCTGTTTTATTTCCAAAACTGCAGCAGCAAAACAACGGAAAGTGTTTTGAGCTTCTGAGAAAAGGAAATTCTGACAGTTTTGTGTTCAAGATAAAGACCAGTGCTTTATGATTAAACTGCAAGGAGGGCTTGTGTAGCAATTCAAAATGTTTAGACAACAGAATGGTGCATTTTCACATAACTTACATAGATTGTCAAGCATATTTTCAGTACAGGTGTTGTTGTTTTTACTATAATTAGGTTTTACTACTTATCATTAAATTAGAAGAGCAGATCTTGTTTTTCTCTCTCTTTCATTCGACACTGAACAGCCGCTGAAGGGTGAGTGGGATCTGTCAGCTCTGCTTTGTAATTAATTCATAATTTAAATTTATTAGGGGTTCTGCAGAATAGTTAATTCAGAAACCAAGGCTGTCCAAATTAATTATAAACAGGCACTTTCATGTTTATTATGGCATTGGTGCAGTGCGAGTTTTCTAGAAAAAGAGGTGCCAGAACTTACTATGAACACCTCCCTTGTTCTCTTAGAATGGCAATGGCACCCACCCGAGAGGTGCTGGAACTGAGTTCCAGTGAGTTCAGGCTGAGAAAAGCTCTGCATTGGTGCATACAATGACATAGAAGCACACGAGCAGTTTCACCAACCCTGCTACCAGATTTGACCCTGTGTGGTTGAATAAACATGCTAGAAGCTTCTGAGAGAATGCAGTCTTTTCTGTGCAGCTCGTAGTTTTCTTACAGCTCCTTCAAACATCATAGCACAAGGGAATTACATATGAAAGGCACTCAAGAGTTCCAGGTAGGCTTTCCCCCGGTGTTTTGGCATGAATAGACCTCATAGAACATCTTATACAGAGACCATTGCTCCATCTAGCTCAGAATTGTCAACTCCCATCCTCCCCAGCTAGCATTGTCAATGGCCATGGAGGATGGGATTGTAGTCCTGCAAAATCTGGGGGGGGGGGGCACGTGTTCCCCACCTCTAGTCTACACTGAATAGCTGTGACTACCTATGGTTTCACTTGGGTTGTTTCCCAGCCCTCTTTGATTGAGCTTGGGACCTTCTGCATGCAAAGCAAGATGCTCTACCAGTGAGCTATGGCCGTTCTCTGCTATGGACTGTGGTTCCATTTCTGTGGGATCTCCACTCTGAATGGAACTCTAAAATCCATACAGAAAATTGGGAGCTGCAGAATTCATTGGTGTGCAGGTACCAAACTAACCCTTCAGTTTGATTGAAAAGTACAGTGGTACCTCTGGTTATGAACTTAATTCGTTCCGGAGGTCCATTCTTAACCTGAAACAGTTCTTAACCTGAAGTACCACATTAGCTAATGGGGCCTCCTGCTGCCGCTATGCCGCCACCATGCGATTTTTGTTCTCATCCTGAGGTAAAGTTCTTAACCCAAGGTACTACTTCTGGGTTAGTGAAGTCTGAAACCCAAGGTGTTTGTAACCTGAGGTACCACTGTACAAATTTGTAAAGTCCTGCTATATAACACATGGAATATATTTATTTTTATGTACATGCACCTAGGTAAATGGATTTTTCAAAACTTCCTTTTTTTACTGTTTTAATTGAAGTATGAGGGTTTTTTTTAAAAAAAATAAATTTCATCTCCAGACTAAGGAACTGCACCCTGCAAATAAATGTGTCTCAGCATGCTGGATCAGTACATTTTCCACGAAGCCATAAAGCAGTCAGCTGTTTGAGGCCAATGTCTGCAAGGTCCTCTTCCACATCAGAGCATCTGAGGCTGGTGCCGTATGTCAGGAGTGCTCTGATGGTGTTTCCTGCTTGGCAGGGGGTTGGACTCGATGGCCCTTGTGGTCTCTTCCAACTCTATGATTCTATGATTCTATTCTATGATTCTAGTGATGCCACTGGGCCCTTAGCCTGTGGCCACACAGCTAATGCCAAGAGTTACCTGTGATGTTGGGTTTGTGGCAGAGCAACAGAACCCCACTTGTGCCACATCACATGTTGCTACCGCAATTTAAGGAGAGAGGTGTAATGGGGGCGGGGTTGGTGATCTGTTAGAGGAAGGGGGCATTGTCATGTTGTAAGGTTAGGGGATTGAGAGGTTGGCAAGGTCTAAGGGGAGTGGGGTAGGCTGGATTTGCCAGTAAGATAAGCAGGGGCACAGCCCCTAGCGCATGTGTGTATAGCGCAGGTGAACGTGTGTGTGTGTGTGTGTGTGTGTGTGTGTGTGTGTGTGCAGTTTATGGGCCCTTTCCCTTAGTATAGTATGCATTTTTGTACACACCACCTGGCTAGAGAACTACATTCAATATGGGCCCTATTCAAAGTGCTGGTTTTGACCTATAAAGCCTTAAATGGCTCAGGACCACAATACCTCAAGGACCGCCTCTTCCCATATGAACCTACCCGGACCCTGAGATAATCTTCTGAGGCCCTTCTTCTTGTGCCTCTTCCGTGAGAGATCAGGAGGGTGGCAACATGAGAACAGGGCCTTCTCTGCAGTGGCTCCCTATCTGTGGAATGCTCTCCCCAGGGAAGTTCACCTGGTGCCTTCACTATACACCTTTAGGCGTCAGGCAAAAATGTTCCTTTTCAACCAGGCCTTTGCCTGACTTGATCTACATCCCATACCCTTTTTAAAAATGCTGGCTCTTTTTTGGGGGGGGGGCGTTCTGTTGGGTTGTTGGTTTTGTTTTGATTTTATGTATTTGATATTTTATGTGAACTGCCCTGAGACCTTCGGGTATAGGGTGGTATAGAAATCAAATAAATAATAATAATAATAATAATAATAATAATAATAATAATAATAATAATAATACATTGTGAAATTCAGGGAAGTTTGAGTTTCAATGGACGGCTGTGTTTCAGTTTGCATATTGTTTCAGAAAGTGTTGAATAGGTACATTTGCCTTTACATGTGAACTGAGTCTAATTTCCTCCCCATCGCTACTGTTACGTAGACCTCAAAGGTTTTGGAAAACAGAAAGGTGGTCTAGCCATTCCCACCCAAATCCCCAAATCGTTTCATCGTTAGAACAAAACTTCCACAAACTGAGGCACTGGACCACTGGGGCAATGCCTGAAAGCTGGAAGCAACTTCTGTGGATAGGCAGGACAGGAGAGATTATGAGTGGATGGGTAAAAAGATTGTCATTGAGGACCTGGGCTGGAATAATTGCAGCTGGGCTGTTCTATAAATTATTTGGAAGCATCATGTTCCTGCTATGCATATGCAGCTAATTATCTTTGTAACCTGCCTTGGGAGGGTTTGCCTTGAATATTTCAAATCCCCTAAAACAAACAAACAAACAAAGCTTACTCCTTAGTAAGTGTGTTTAGGATTGCGGCCGACATCGCTCTTGTTCATCTGTTGCAATTCCATACACTAGAGACATGCAGAGAATTTTAATAACTGGGAATTCCAGAGAGGTATGGCTGCCACTCTTCCATAATTTTGAAAGATTGGTCATATTTTTGGAGCGCTGCTGCCCGCAATAAGCAGAAAAATTATTATAGACGGAGTTTGCACATACTGGTTTATGAAGGCAAAAATGAGTGTTTGAACAAACAAATCAGAGCTGCCTTTCATTTTATACATTTGGGGGAGGGGGAGGACCTCTGGAGGCAGTAAAACTACAAAGCATTTTTTAAAAAGAAGCTAACAAATAAAAGCAATTTTGTAAAAAAGGAAGCAGCAGCAAAATGTGTATTAACTACCCAGCACATGGACTAAGGGTGGGCCTTTCACATCATACAGTAGATGAGCTAGGTGATGAATTGATCCTTGCCATATGTGAAGCCAGACTGCTAAGGCACTGCTGCCAATAAAAGTTGTAGCCTTGTTACTGCACCGCAGTAAAATTTCACCCACAGCCTTGCAATATACCTGGGTTTGCAAAACAAAAAGCACTGGATGAATTTACATAACCATGAGCTATGATCCCTCTTTCAAAGTGCCATCAACTAAGGCAGCCTGATCAGCTAATTCTAGCCTGATCCTCTTAATGTCTTACTGATTTGCTCTACTCGGTCTGAGATTGGTTAGTTTGTCCATAATATGCTTATTTTAAAAATGGAAAACCTTCTAAGAAGACACCATAATAGCTGTATCTACTCAAGTGCTTTGAATCCAGAGCTGGAGTTACTGTGGTGTGTATATTCAAGCAGCTTGCAGGGTGGATATTGTAAATATATATATTTAAATTGTAGCCTCCTGCTGTCTACCTTTCTGTAATTGAACATTCTGTTTTTTCATACAGTGGCCTTAAATTTCCAAACAGCAGGACTGCAAATGGATCTTCAAACTGGGAAATTTTTGGATAATGGTGGTTCTGGCTATTTACTAAAACCAGAATATCTAAGAAATAGAGACACACAATTTACTCCACATGCTATATCTGCAAACTGTCAACCGGTGCTTCTTACTATAAAGGTCAGTTCATTTTGTTGATAACATTCTTTATTTAATTTGCCAGACCACTTGTGCTTTCTTTTTTGCAAATAAATACTAATACTTTCTCTGTATTTTCCACCTCAGCTCGTGATAAGCACTTCAAGTAACCTGTACCTGATAGCTGATTGGTGTCAATTGGCAGCATAATTGCTGCTGAGCTGAGTTTAAGATTTTGTTGTTGACATATAAGTCCTGCACAGCTTAGGACCAGGTTGACCCTTCTACCTAGACCAGCTTGTTCACTTAGGTTGTCAGATGAGGTCCTTCTAGGCATCTAGTAGAGACACATCTGGCCTTCTTTGTGTTAGCCACCACATTGTATAATGAACTCCACTTAAATATATGATGGGCACCTATGGCACAGGTGTTCTCCAGCTTGGTACAGATAGGTAGCCGTGTTGGTCTGCCATAGTCAAAACAAAAAAAATTCCTTCCAGTAGCACCTTAAAGACCAACTAAGTTAGTTCTTGGTATGAGCTTTCGTGTGCATGCACACTTCTTCAGATACACTGAAACAGAAGTTGCCAGATCCTTCTATATAGTGAGAAGGTGGGGAGGGGTATTACTCAGAAGGGTGGTGGATATTGGTAGATATTGGTGGATATTGGTAGATATTGAACTATTTACATGGGCACTCCCAAGCTCAGATCCTTAATACTGACTTTACCAAACCCTTGATATCCTGCCTTATGTTTTATTGTTATTGTGTTATACTGGTTTTATTTTGTAAACTACCTTGTTATTTTTTGCAGTGAAAGGCGGCCTATAGTTAATTTAAAATAAAAATGTGTACCAGCAGGGCCCCTGTGCTATCACTTGCATATGGTTGCTCTCTCTTTGCTTTCTGGTAGATTTGTGAAGATGCATAATAGCTTCAAGGCACTTACTCAGCTATAAACATGATTCAAGTCACACTTATAGATGTGCCATTATGAAATGTGGAGCAACGATACACACATATATATATCGCTGCAGTCCCACTGATTCCAGTGACACTGCATAAACAGTTTCTGAATTTTCCTCCTAGGAACGTGCAAAGGAAAGTCCTGGGGCTGATGCAAGTATGAAATGAGTTGATTGCAAGGGGATATGCCTACATTGTCAAATTGTAGGTGCTAATTAAAAACTCCTGTTTGCTCAGGTGTCTGGTGGCACTTGATTGACTACCTGCTCTGTTTTATACTTACTGTGTATTACCTGCTTCTTTTTTAATTTGTGTAATTATTTTTAATTGATTAATGAATTGTTTTAATCAGGTTGTTGAGACAGGTGGCATATAAATATTTTAAAGGACTAATGAACAACCAACCAACCAAATAGCCTTGGCTGCAGCAAATACCACTTTAGCCTCCAAAGGTTTTTGCATTACATCAACAGGATACAGGTTTTAAAACATAGATAGCTCCAGAGCAGCCTTCCCCAACCTGCTGCCCTCCAGTTGTTTTAGATTACAATTCCCATCAGCTATAGCTGTGCTGGTGGGAACTGATTGGTGTTCAAAACAAATGGAGGGCACTAGCATTGGGAAGCATTGTCTATGGAAAGAGTTAGAGCCCTTAGCACACCCAGAGCCCAACAGGGTTTTTATTTCAGTTTATGTTTGCTACACTGGGACGCGGGTGGCGCTGTGGGTAAAAGCCTCAGCGCCTAGGGCTTGCCGATCGAAAGGTCGGCGGTTCGAATCCCCGCGGCGGGGTGCGCTCCCGCTGCTCGGTCCCAGCGCCTGCCAACCTAGCAGTTCGAAAGCACCCCCGGGTGCAAGTAGATAAATAGGGACCGCTTACCAGCGGGAAGGTAAACGGCGTTCCGTGTGCTGCGGTGGCTTGCCAGATGCAGCTTTGTCACGCTGGCCACGTGACCCGGAAGTGTCTGCAGACAGCGCTGGCCCCCGGCCTCTTGAGTGAGATGGGCGCACAACCCCAGAGTCTGTCAAGACTGGCCTGTACGGGCAGGGGTACCTTTACCTTTACCTTATGTTTGTTAGTCTCTACCTGGTTATTAACTAGGGATGCAGGTGACACTGTGGTCTAAACTACTGAGCCTCTTGGGTTTGCTGATCAGAAGGTTGGCAGTTAGAATCCCTGTGACAGGGTGAGTTCCCATTGCTCTGTCCCAGCTCCTGCCAACCTAGCAGTTCGAAAGCGCACCAGTGCAAGTAGATAAATAGGTACCGCTGTGGCGGGAATGTAAATGGCGTTTCTGTGTGCTCTGGCACTCGTCAAGGTATTCCATTGTGCCAGAAGTGGTTTTGTCATGCTGGACGCATGACCCGGAAAGCTGTCTGTGGACAAATGCCGGCTCCCTCAGCCTGAAAGCGAGATGAGCACCGCAACCCCATAGTCACCTTTGACTGGACGCAACCGTCCGGGGTACTTTACCTTTTTTTTTTTACCTTTACCTGGTCACAGAAGTCATCTCTATTTATTTTTGTCTGACTTATCCTTTGATTATTCCAAAGCTGCTTGATCTGGCTCCCATACTGGTGGTTTGTTCTGCCTCATGACTCAAAGAGCTGAAAAACAAGAGCTTACCCTTTTCCTGCCTGTTCTGTTCTGTTCTGTTTGCCTTTGACTTCATAGGGACCTTGCCCCCACAGCTGGTGCTGCTGATCAGATGTCCATCCATCTTAGTGATGGATGCTGGAGAATCATGGTGGCTAGAGGGTCAGGTTTGGATATGGAAAACTCTGCTTCAGATCCCCTCTGGACTGCAAAGTTTAATGACTGGTTGTGGGCATCTTTTCGTGAACTGCCCCACAGGCATGTTGTGAGGCTAAATGGCACACTGACCTCCTCGGAGGAAGGTTTAGGGCACATTTGCAGCATGTTCCCAATTTCCTCAGACGTTGCTATAAGTGGCCTCAGCTTTGGGTTGCTTGAACCTGCAGGGCACCATCCAGTTAAATCAGGGCTTGCACTCAGTTTAGTAATGCGGTCTGAATCCATTCCTGTACCTTACTTCTTTCAGAAGGCAGGTCGGCTTTCCTCTTATCAGTTATTGTTTTTGTTATGCTGAGATTAACTAGCTTATTTTTCACATATAACCTATAAATATCATTTGTGTGCTAAAACTTTGTGAAATAGACCTTTTAGTTCAAGCTGTGAGGCTCATACGTAGCAGTGGTACTGAAAAATTGCCAGTCAGAACTAAAATAAATCACACCTGCTTGATTTATTATCTGCAATATTTTCTTGTTCTTTTCCTCTGCTTGCTGTTGGAAATAAATACCTTGAGTACCACAGATGCTGAGACTAGCTTCTTGCAAATGCTATTTAGTCATCAAAGGCATTTGGCACATTATTAAATACCACTGCTGTAGTTCATTGTCTTGTTACACAGTTGCCATTTTGCCCTGCGTTTGCAAACATGTGACAATGAGCCAGCTTTGTAACACCGATTCAGATTTTAAAAAATGCACTCGAAAAGTTTGCCCCACTTAATTAATTGCAAAAAAAAAAAAAAAAGACTGAAAGATTTTGTTCATGCCAGTGTGTGCTTTTAATTAACAGAAATTCTTCACTTAAGTAAGGGCTGTCTCTCTGGTTTGATCCAATAAACACTTAACATGTTGCAATTTTACTGGGCTTTGAGCCTTTTGTTTAAGGGAGCTGCTGCAAGGCTAAGGGAGCAATCCACAGTCCCAGCCAAGACAGTGGGGCTGGGCAGAGGGACAGCAACACTACGGCATTCAAAGTTCTGCTCTTGGCACTGGCCAGGGCAGAAGCTTATTTTACGTTTTGCTAGCTCTAGGCTTCTGCTGCAGAAAGGCCCAGTTAGGCCCCATCTGTGGCCTCCAGGAAGATCCATGGCTGGCCCAGCTCTGCCGCTCCCCACATCCCACAAATTTCAGGGCCTCCTGAAGGGAGCAAACACCCCGGGTTAGGTTGTCAACAGCTTGTGCTGTTGGTGGGCACAGCAGAAACAGCCCCCTGCCTTCTGTGGAGATGGTGGTGGTGGAGAAACCTCTGCCGCATCCGAACCTGCCACTCCCTCGCCCAGAGGAGTACAGAACCACGGTTTAGGATCGCTCTGCAAGGAAGTGAAGTGGGAAATCCCTGGTTCAAATGTCACCTCTGTCATGACCTCACTAAATTGCCTTGAGGAAGCCAATGTTCTCTCACACCAGCAGTATGGTATAATAATACTTAACCTGCTGTACAAGGTTATTGTAAGCACCCTGAGATAATGTACCCCAAGCCCTATATCAGTGCCAAAGTATTATGACTATGATACTCCAGGCATCCCTGCCTTTTCAATGAAGTTGCTTGAGCGACTTCTCTTTGTTGCAGTCGCCCCCCCCCCCATTTTGCTGGCTTTTGGTCCATTCCTCTTATCCCTCTGAAATCCCATAACCTGTTTTTTAATGGGTTTTCTGTAAATGTGTAGTGCCTCTGCTTAAAATGTGGTGCTAGGCTCTGGAATGGGCTTATTATGTTTAGGAGCCAGAACATAGCGCAGTGTATGCACAGACAGATATCAATAGTTCTACTGAGACTGAGTGAGTTTCTTTTTCTCTAGTGAAAGGTTGGGAAAGACTATAAAATGTCTGTGGGGTTGTGGGGAGATCAGAATTGTTCAAGATCAGAAAGAGAGAGAGAGAGAGAGAGAGAGAAAAGGGATTAAGTAGGTGGTGATTGAAGCAAGTGATTAGTGAATGGGTAGATATGTACTAAAAACACCCCTCTAATAAGACAGTTTTGTGGTGGATCAGTTGCTAAGAGATGTGATAAAATGAAATGCCCTTGCAATATAGAGAGTATTGCAGTAATACGAGGGCCTTTTTAATGAGAAACTAAGGGCACTTCCAGTTGACCTATCGAGCATTCATCCTGATTTGTTTGCAGGATGATTAGACGACATTGACTGTTTATTGAGAATTCATTCTTATTTGTTTGCATTGAGGTTAGATGGGGTTGCGTCAAAGCATATGTTAACTCATATGTCGCAGTGCATTTTCCCATTGTTTTCTTTATTGCAAAAGTCTGATCTTTTGGGGAAGCGGGATTTTTGCCCAAGACCTCCCAATCAACTATAAAACACACAATTTGAATTTGCCAAATATATGTTTGAATTCCACCTGAGAATAGCAACTGTCTGGCAGTGCCCTAAGTCTGAGAAACACAGGCATGGAAGCACCCTTTGGAGCAGGATGTAAGATGTGTTGCATAGCGTTCTACTCAAACTTCACCTGATATACTCTGAGAGAAGACTTATGGGCAGTAGCTTTTACAGGTTTGATCTAACTATATGAAAGAGATTTATGCAAATAACAAGCAAAGCAACAAGCCCATCTAGTACCAAGGACTGAGTATATTTTGCCAGTGACAAACTGCTGCTGTTATCCACTGGGATTTTCAAAAGTGGTGTTGAAATCATAAGTCATCATTACTCGGTATAAAATATAGAACCGTTGATACACACTGTGATTTGCAAAGTAGCATGAGCAAAAAGGAGAAGTATTTGTCCCAAGAAGCTTGTTGCAAGCAGCATTCTGACAGAGCAGAGACAAAAAGAGGCACAAAAGATGGAGAGGAGGGGAAGTGCGGAAGAAGAACATGCTCAAGTTCACTGTACTTATTTTTACTTTCAAGAGGGAACAAGGGCCTCCTCTTACCTAGTTACAGATGCACTTGGAGGGCTTGGGTGCAGAAAATGCTAAAGATTGCACATAAATGAAGGAAAACAGAGGCTCATTGTAGGCATTATATGTCAGATGTGTTTTTTTTTATAAAAAAAAATCTTTTTAAAAATGAAAAGTGGCCATGGCAATTCTGATCCCAAGTGGAGGAATAGCAGGTGAGGAGTTTCTTGTTCCTTTCCCATGTAGTCATTTTTTCCCTATTCAAAATTGCCCTTCCGCTTGCTGCTTTTCCATCTTTGGTGATTTGATAACATGTATATGGGAGGAAAAGAAGCTTGGACTCCCCAGTATTACACAGAAAATTGAGAGGACATGATTAAGCGGCCCCTCCCTCCCACCATTCCTCTTGCCCCAATAGCAGCTCAAACACTTGTTTTTTTTACAGCTGTTTCATAGTTAAGGGTAAATAATTCTCAGTTAGCTTTGTCCTGTGTGGTAGGCTTCCCCGTCTGTTTTTCAGTAAAACCATTGATGCCAGAATAATAATCAATTGCATTTTACAGAATAATAATCAATTGCATTTTACAGTGCTGGAGCACGATTTCTGTCCTCATCCTGAAGCAAAGTTCTTAACCCGAGGTACTATTTCTGGGTTAGCGGCGTCTAACCTGAAGCGTATGTAACCTGAAGCGTATGTAACCTGAGGTACCATTGTATATCCCAGTTGAAGCTTATGCACTGTTGTTGTTTTTCTGTGCAGCTTATCAGCGGTCATCAATTACCACCTAGCAGTCTCTCCAGGAGTAATAAAGCTGACCCCCTAGTTCTAGTAGAAATTTATGGTGTTCCGGAAGACCATGCAAAGCAACAGAGCTGTGTAGTTAAGGGCAATGGTAAGTGCAACAGTCTATTGGTTGCGTAATGTTTCAGTAATTTAGGGATTTAACTCATGGGCTTACATAGCTTATCAAAGTTTTGCCTTTGGCAACTGGGCCTATGTACAGAAACAGCAGTGCATAAATTAGTAAGGAAAGCATGAATGGTACATGCACACACAGAGAGAGTTCTTATATGGAATATTAAAAATTTCCATTATTTGAATGAATTAGAAAGGACAGGCTAAAATACATACATTTACATGTGTATGGGGGAAAGTAGAACAAAGGAAAGATCAAGCTTTGTTCTAATTGCATTCTGCGGAGGTGGACAGGTTTGTTTCCCGCCTTCATTGTTTACGTCAGAGCTGTAAGTGGGCAGTGGAAGAAAACAGACAGAGAAAAATGCAGGAATTTGTATGTTTGTAGTACCAGTATACCTCTCTTTCTGTGTTTTTGCTTGTCCCTAGTTGTCCACTGTGGTTTTAGGGCTTCTTCCGGGGTGTGTAAAAATGTATGTTACTTGAACAGTTGAGCCACTACAGAAGCATACAGGTCCCCACACTGTGGACAGACATACACTTTTGTTTGCAGAAACAAGCTCATAGAAAGCCAGTCCTGTAAGCTGGCAGCCCAAGCCAGCTGTGTGCAGCGCTGATTGCCTGGTGCCTGCAACACCACAAATTCCCCTTTCCTTTTGGTGATGGGCTGGGCCAGAGCCCAAAGTGGGTGGAGCAATATATAAAGATTTTACTTGTATGTAGTAGGCTGCATTCTACATAACCTCACACATGCCTCTCTGTTCTCTATCTGGACAAGCAGGTGGCATTGTCAGAGTTCAAGGACACATTCCATCCAGGCAAAAAGACTTGGGGAATGAAGTGGGGCCACTGAGGGGGGGGGGGTATGTCTCTATCTGGGGCAGATGGAGACGTCTCTAGGCCACGTTTGGTCCCTGAGCCAGAGGCTTCCCATCCTTGTCATCTATAGAAGCTGACCTGATTGCAGGTGAATCTTGCTTCAACACTGGAGATGAGGCAGTGCCTGAGGACAGCAGACTAGTTTGGGGGAAGCAGGGCAGACAGTGTGAAACACATCAAGCTGTGTCCTCCAGCATCTCACTGCCATTCTATAGGATCTGCCTAGTGATAAGGCCATCCCTGCAGGAAAGTCTGTTTCATCCCGTCAGCTTCTGGATTTCAGTTGTTGGGAATCATAAATGGCGAGAGCTCTTTCTTCTTCTTCTTTGGCGATCACTCATAGCCGTGTAAGGTTGTCTTCCATAATCATGGTTTTAAAAGTGAATCTGTAAGTGACTGTGGAGGCCAATTCTGGACCCACACGTCCTTCCACTGTGGGGACTTAGGTTTCCAGGCAGGAGTTGTTCATGGTGAGGGTTTGCCAAGCGTGCCTTCCTCTTAGCACGTGAGTTTGAGCACCTTCAAAGCCCATGACACCTTTGGTAAAGGCTGTTCTCCAATTGGAGCGCTCGCAGGCCCGTGTTCCTCAGTTGTCGGTGTATATACTACATCTTTTTAGATTTGCCTTGAGAGAGACTTTGAACCTCTTTTGTTGACCACTAGCATCACGTTTAACATTTTAAAGTTTGGAATAGAGTAGTTGCTTTGGAAGACGATCCTCAGGCATCCGCACAACATGACTAGTCCAACGAAGTTGATATTGAAGAATCATTGCGCGACACTGGTGATCTTTGCTTCTTCCAGTACACTGGCATTAGTTTGCCTGTCTTCCCAAGTGATGTGTAATTTTTTTCGGAGACACCGCTGCATCCAACTCCTTGCAGGCTTCCCACAGCCATCAGGTTGGCCACTCTGAGAACAGGGTGCTGGATTAGAGAAGCCTTTGGCTTGATTGCTTTCTTAGGCTTGCAGTAGAAAAAAAAATCCTGGCAAATCTTTAAAGTTGTGTCTTTTATGCATCCTTGGTGTCTTTCCACTATCTATCTGCAAAAAGAAAGAAAGAAAAGAAGCATTACGACAAAATTAAGGGAGGAATCAAATCACTGTGTCACTCCAAATGGTTCACCTCATTATGGTTCACTGCTGGAAACTGTGCATAGTTGTGATTAAACTAAAAAGAAGAAGCCTGTCAGTGGATCATTTAAATTCCAAAGGGACAGCTCCACTGCAATGTAATGCCAGTTTTAACATCAGGCAAACAAGACTAGGTGTAGTTGAATTTTTCAGCTTTCAAATTCCCAAAAATGAGGCGTGCTAAAAAAGTTGGAACATGACTTGGGAATTCAAAAGATATTTTGGTTAAATTAATGTAATTTAATTTTGCTTGGTAAGCAAAACATGTGTAAAATTGCACAGAGATCACTAAAAATGATTGCCAAGTACGTGCAGTTATATATTACCATTATTTTTTTATTATTATTTAGCATTACCTGACATTTTCAGAAGGTATGAATTAAAATTCTCTAGTTTTCCAAAAGCAGTTTATGTGCTTCTTCACCAAACTTAAACCAAGCTAAATGTTGTCCAATCATAAAAATAATAATATATATTTAAGACGACATTGGATGGCCATCAGTGATGGATGCTTTAGTTGAGATTCTTGCATTCCAGGGGGTTGGATTAGGTGACTTTTGGTGTCTCTTCCAATTTTGTAATTCTACGATATTCCCCCAGACTGGGACTCAAGGTGGTTTACAGATAAAAAAATAGAAAAGCATAGATATAAAACAGAAAAAGCTAAAAACATAAGAAGAGTTTCTACTTAGCCAGCCTTTGTTTTGCATTTGTGGGAGCATTTCAGACATGTACTCCTGCAATCAGTGAGAATCATCAATTAACAGAGAAAGAAATAGGAAACAAATGGAGGTTTTATTTTCAGTGGTCAGTGAATAGAACACAATTAGCAATGTAGAGTTGTTTTAACAGATCATTGCTTGTCTTATATTGCTTTCTTTATTTCAGCTTTGAGTCCCAGGTGGAATGAAACATTCACTTTTAACATCCAAGTTCCAGAGCTTGCCTTAGTACGGTTTGTTGTAGAAGATCAGCTTTCTCTCACTTCCAATGACTTCCTTGGGCAATATACTTTACCACTTCTGAGCATGAATAAAGGTATTAGTCCCCATCCCCCCCAGGCACAAATCCCTAACAACAAATTTTTCTCTTCTTGATTATGATATGCAACATAGCCTTAAATTGAGTGCTTCCAAGGTACAGTGGTTGTGTTACTATCATTGCTGAAACCAGACCTGTTCAAAAAAATGCTGTGGTGTTACTATTTTTAACCATGTTAGTTGCCTAGCTTTAATTTGTGACATTGTGCAGAACTGAATGGGGCGTTAATTGCATTACTTGTCGAGTCTTCACTGTTCCTAAAAGTGTGAACTCTGCTTTCCCTTTTATACAGATCAACAATGTTGTCTTTTAATGTACATCCTTTTGGAATTTCTGCAATGTTCATTTATTTCAGCTGCAGGAGCTGTCCTGTGTTCTACCACATGCTTACTTTGTTACTTACAATTGTAGCTTACCCTTCTAGGTGAATGTAGGGGCCAGTTAATACATTGGTTCATATACAGTTGTTTTAGGAGTGTGTAGGTCCATAATGGTGCTTACAACCTATTTGTGTGAACCGGTACCTCCATGTTGACTGTATTTCTGTAGCCGTCCTGATTCCCAGGATGCCACTGGCCACATCTTCAAGGTTGCAAGCCCAGTGACTGCTCTGTGTGCTCATAGGTTCTTATATCAACATAGGAACTTGTCTTTTAGCAAGTCAAAGCATTAGGTTCTTGCTTTGCACTGTCTTACACTGACTGGCAGTGACTCTCCAGGGATTCAGGCAGAAGTCTTTACCAGCCCTACCTGAAGATGTGAACATGGCTCCCTCCTAGGTTCCATTTCTTGGGACAGAACTAAGGTTTACATGTCTTCGTGAATCGTTTTGCCTGTAATCCACTCATTCATTGCTATTGCATTTACAGGTTATCGCCAGGTTCCACTTTTTTCCAAACTTGGTGTCAACCTGCGCCCTGCTTCACTCTTTGTGCATATTTGGTACTTCAACCAATAATGTTTGCTAACAGAGCTCCCTCAGCAGCCTGAATCCTCAATAAAGAAACCATGGTTTAATAGTACTACTTTGTTACTGTCATAATTTATTTTTACTTGTGTGAGTCAATGGTATTCTGTACGCATAAAGGCCGTATGAGAGTGGCTTTGCTGAATCATTGTTCTGTGTCAGTCCCAACAGCCAAGTCAGATGCTTTTGAGAGCTCACAAGCAGGGAATGCAGTAGCAATATTTTCCATTGTTTATCCCCAGCAATCTGGTACTCTGTAGCATGTTACTTCTGTACATGGAGGTCCCATTTAGCTCCCGTGATCACTACCGATCAATAGAACGTTATCCACTAGGACAGTGTTTCTCCACCAGTGGGACTTGGGCCACTTTCAGGTGGGCCTCAGTGCCATGACCTGTTCAGTAATTCCTCACTTGCCTGCTGCACACCCTAGTCATGCCAGAGCTATTTGACCTAACCATGGCCAGCACCAGCAACTCCTTGTTTGCTCAGACAGAGAATCCCAGAGGAGGAAGAGGGAAGGATGGTCTCCCTCTGACAGTAAAGGCTAGAGGAGGCATTGGAAGAAAATTAGAAATAAAAGGTTAATATGCATTAATGATTATAATAATACAATGGGTATAGAAAAGCTAAGAGGGGAAAGCTGTTATAGCAGGGAGACATGAATATACACAGACAAGGAAAGGGGGGGTGAAAGAAATTGTCAGGGAAACAAACAAGGTCCAAGTCGAGTGTGAAAACACAAAGGGAGAAGAAATTGCAAGTGGTGGGTTAAAATGTTTTTGAGATGCATGTGGGGGGTGAGAAGAGAAAACAGTGTTTAAACTGGGTGCCAGGACCCTCTAATTCCTGGATCCAGCAAGTGTTAGAATTTAATCAAGGCTTCTAATTATTGGAATAGCTACGATGGCCTCCTGGTGAAGTGATAACCTGGGTTAAGGGGCTTGGTTCAAGGTGGCAAATAGGTGGGGCCTCCTTTCCTCGAGGATTAAGCAGTGAACTGGAAAGAGTCAAAGCAAAGTTTGAGAGCAATGTTTGATTTCTGTTTGAATCCGAGGCTGTGGGTATGGGAGAAACAAGACCCTTTGGGGGGTGTTAATGCTGTGAACCCCACCATCATAGGCTTAGGTTGTACAGTGGTACCTCTGGTTACATACGCTTCAGGTTACATACTCCGCTAACCCAGAAATAGTGCTTCAGATTAAGAACTTTGCTTCAGGATAAGAACAGAAATCGTGCTCCGGTGGCACAGCGGCAGCAGGAGGCCCATTAGCTAAAGTGGTGCTTCATGTTAAGAACAGTTTCAGGTTAAGAACGAACCTCCGGAACAAATTAAGTACCTAACCCGAGGTACCACTTTATATACTATAAATTATATATCATAAAGACACTACAGTCTCCGCTGTGCCTTATTTTCAAAAGGAAACACAAACTTTGGATAAGTACCTGACACCCCTGGAAAATGCCATATTCACCTACAGCCTTTGGAGCAACAAATTCTGGGTAAAATAGGAAGGTTGTCACAATACCTCCAGAGCAAATGTGTGTACTGAGCTTGAGGAACGCTGGCCTATGGAACTCCTTCCCACAAGATAAATGCTGCGGGAAAGAATTTAGGAATTTCTGAAGACTGATTAGATACCAGTAGAAAATGATGTTAGTAATTGCCAGCTGATTATGCCCAACTCTGATCCACCTACCATCATTTTGTGACTGACCTCACAGCCATTTTGTGACTGGTGGGCCTTAATAATTCTCAGCTGGACCCCAGTGATAGAAAGTTTGTGAACCCCTGCTGTAATTTACATTTCAAGCTACTCAAGCTAGTGATGGCCATTATGTCCTGGGGCTGTGCATTCCATTTGTTAAGTGCACACTGTTACGATGCATGCAAGTTAGAGCATGCAATCTCTCAAACACCTCAGATCCTTTCCATTTTCTAAGATATCCCACGCTGATTAGAGGTGCAGGGCATGCCAACCACGGAGATATGCAACAGGTTTAACATGAGAGCGATTGGTGTATTGCCCACTGGAATGAGATGAATGTAGTTTGTGAAGTTTGCAACGTGGATATTTTTTGTTCCTTGCATTCCTTATTTATCTTGCATGTTGAGTATCATTAATGCCATCTAAGAAAAACAATGGCCTGATTTCCTGTTTTATGAGCAGCTGTCTGTAGGAAGCCCTTGTGCTATGCTTTTTGAATCCAGTAAAATAATTCCTTAAGAAAACAGTTTGCAGTTTATAGCTCACTAGTGACTAAGGTTCGAAATGATTTAAGGTTTCATTTCGAAACCTCTGAGAACTAAAATGTATGTGATACTCGGTCACATGTAGCTTGTTCCCATTTAGGAGGAAAATGCCGAGACTACAATAAATTGGGGAAACAGCACAGGGGGCAAGCCGTATGCCATGCCTTTTGCCTTGCAGGGCAAAAACAGCTTGGGAGGGATTTTTAGAAGAATGTCAGGTGAGGAAAAGATCCACCACCGAGCTTTCCGCCAGTTTTCTGCTTTAGTTTACAGATCCCATAGCTGTGTTTGGTCAAATGCAACGAATGTCACACGGGTGACATTTTGGGACGCGGGTGGCACTGTGGGTAAAAGCCTCAGCGCCTAGGGCTTGCCGATCGAAAGGTCGGCGGTTCGAATCCCCACGGCGGGGTGCGCTCCCGTTGCTCGGTCCCAGCGCCTGCCAACCTAGCAGTTCGAAAGCACCCCCGGGTGCAAGTAGATAAATAGGGACCGCTTACTAGCGGGAAGGTAAACGGCGTTTCCGTGTGCGGCTCTGGCTTGCCAGAGCAGTGATGTCACGCTGGCCACGTGACCCAGAAGTGTCTCCGGACAGCGCTGGCCCCCGGCCTCTTGAGTGAGATGGGCGCACAACCCTAGAGTCTGTCCAGACTGGCCCGTACGGGCAGGGGTACCTTTACCTTTAACGAATGTCAGATGTAAACTACATGTGACAATATTCTTTTAATGCACTCGACAGGGAAGATGGTAGTGGCACTATCGTTGGGTCTAAGAGCACATCAGGAAGTTGCACAGTACAGTATAGCAGCAATGCGGTGCCACAACATGCAAGAACTGGAACAAAAATTGGAACTGGAATCAGAGACATTACACACACAAATGTGCAAATCCAGATTCTTCTCCAGATTCTGTTAGAACTCTAACTGTGACCATATATTAAATAACAAAGTTGTTCTTTTTCCCCTTTGTCACTTGTAACTTAGCCAGCTGTAGGTTTTCTTGGCTTCTAGGTTAACACACACAAATCATTCCCCACTGAAATATACACAAGTGCAACTGTGTAGTAAATGAGCAGTACTTTTAATCACAAGTACGGAGGGTGGCTATAAGAGAGAACCTTGTCATTAGAGGCCCCCATTATATGGAACACTCTCCCCAGAAAGGTCTGCCTGGCATAGACATTATCTCCTCAGCACCATTCATAGACAATTGACTGTTAACATGTTAGCTTGATTATTATGTTGATTTTGTTGCTGTGAGGTTAGGAAGGATTTTATTGCAAGCTGTGTGGGTTTTGTTTGTTGTGATATAGCCGCAATTATTTTGTATTTTGCATGTTTTGTATTTCTGATTGTAAATCACCATGAACCCATTTTGGGTTTATGGTTATGTATGCATGTAGGTATGTAAGTCCTTTGGCACACAGACATTCTCGAGAACCAGGAAAATAGAAACAAATATGTAAATATCTTCTTTCTTTAACCTTTGGGATTCTTAACAAAGACAAGCTCAGCTTGCATATTTCATTAATAAATGAGTAAAGTCATTCGTTTTATCTATCTATCTATCTATCTATCTATCTATCTATCTATCTATCTATCTATCTATCTATCATCTATCATCTATCTATCATCTATCTATCTATCTATCTATCTATCTATCTATCTATCTAATCTATCTATCTATCATATCATCTATATCTATCTATCTATCTATCTATCTATCTATCTATCATCTCTATCATCTATCTATCAATCTGTCTATCTATCTATTTATTCAGTTGCTGCTTTATCTTCTATGTCAATATTTTGGCATTCACACCAGACTTGACAAATTTGCAAACAATCTGCAACTAGAGAAAGAAGTGCTGTTCATGAAGTGTTTTACTGCTGCCTTGAAACCTAAGTTCTCTCCATGAACTCTGAGTTGTGTTCCTGAGTTTTGTGGATGGCTCATATTTCAGGATGGCCCATAGTCATAATTTTCAGAAAGCTTATGGATAAAGTTTTTCCACTTTGATGAAATGGATGGCTGAACTGTATATTTTGCCAAGTTCAAAGTTTCAGCAACTCTGTGCCACTATGATTTTAATATCTCTATCCAGGCGCATCAAAGTGCCCATGATATTTGCTGAGTCTTACAAACCAGGGCTACTGTCCACCATAGTTAGGCAAAATGGGTGGGCTTATGCACACCTAACACTGTGTTGAATTGTAGGCCAATGCCATTCTGTAACTTGAAATGTACATCAGAGAAAAGAATTCTTTTTTTTTTTTTATAAATTTTTTATTGCGTTCCTTTCCATATCTTCAAACAATCCAAATACCACAAATACATTAAATACAAGAAACAATTTTTCTTTTCTTTTACATCAAAGACCAATTAAAAACCAAACCTAAAAAAATATATAAACCATTCCCTATTTGGACTTCCCCACACCCTCCGGAACTGCATTCTTTATAATTTAGTAATGTCAGCAATTTGTTACCTTGTTTCGTACCTTATTGTAACTTTCAATTTGTTATGCATCCAAATTCAATATATTGTATCTTAATTTCAATACTTTTAAAATAAACATAACATGTTCAATTCAAATTGTCTCCTTTTCTTTTTTATCACTTATTTTAACATTTACTTAATCATATTTGCCAAAGCATAGTATTTCTCAATCATGCACTAACTTAAGATTCATACAGCTTGTGATGTTTTTGCAAATAGTCTTTAAATTTTCTCCAGTCTCCCTCGATTATTTCTTCATCCAAA